TGCTGGCCACCCACCGCTTCGTGTGCCGTGCCGGCCTTCATAGGTGCTGCTCGCTAATAGCACTTGCCCTAACAGTTTGTGAAGGCTATACAGGGGATTTTTATCTTTGTTTTTGTATGCTTGTGACTCTATAGTGTGCTTGTGTGCGTTTGTACCTATATATGTGTGTGTTGCGGGGGGCGGAGTGGTGGTGCAGTGGTTAGCGCACTGCACTACGAATCCGACAACCAGAGTGTGATTCCGGCTCGTGGCTAGCATGGTGACCAATATCTGAACCGATCGTGGGCCTCGCCGAGGTCGACTCTGTCTCAAATGAGCACCTGGTTTGACGAATAAACATCATCAAAGGGGAGACAAAGGCGGCCGGTGAGCCTGGCTGTTGCCTTCCCGCTCGTCTGTGCTTCCTCCTCGGGCCTCTAAGACGCCCTCTCTCTGCGAGGGCGATGACCAAATGCCGTGCCGTACCGAGTTGAAGTGACGACAATTTCTACTCAAGTATGACGTTGCGTGCAGCCAGGGTAACGTGATGTGGAGCATCCGATGGAATCGGATGCATTAAACTATTCGACTAAACTATTTGTATTTTACCAGCTACGGCCCACTTTAGCTATATAGTTTTTTTTAAGAAGTCACCTGGCCACAAATGATAGCGCAGCAAAGTGGCTTATCATCACGTGGAAAGTGAGCCAAATGACCTAAAGGCGCGACGTTGATTCTAAATGTGGAAGGAAAAACCGGAGGACCCGGAGAAAAATCCAAGCGACCAGGGGAAGAGAGAGAGAGAGAGAGACACGCAAACTCCAAATACACAGCAGGCCTCAGGGGTCGGGATCGAACCCACGACACTCCTGCGTACCAGGCAAGGTGGTTAACACCTTGCCACCTACATGCCTTGCAAGCTCCCCTCAGGGCGCGTGGCAGCGAAACGTCAGACATCGTGCCGAACAAGCCCGGCGCCGGCGGCGTCGACCCGAAAAGAGCGACGCGGTGCCGTTGGACTAAGCCGCTAAAAGAACGTTTGGAACTCGTTCACCTCGCCCCCCCCGACACGTCGAAGGGCTATCGGCGCGGCGCGTCTCCATTGTTGTTGTTCTTCCTTTCCGTGCCGCGCATTTTGATTCCCGGTGAAATACGCAGCGCTTTTTGTAAAAGTGGCGTCTGAAGTAAAAAAAAAAACTTGCTTGGTCTGCACCTCGCCGTTAAAAGTTAACACAAATCAAGGCGGAAATAAAAGCCTCCTTTCCCCGCCACGCTATCGTATATTGGACGTGCGTCGGGCCCCCCCACCTCTGATTTAAGGTAATTAGAAAGCGGCGGGGGGGGGGGTGGTGTGGAAGAAAAAAAAAGTGGAAGATTCTGCGCGACACTCGGAGAAAGGAACTCTGGTGGCGGGTGGCGGCCCGTACCTTTTTTTTTTCATTCCGTTCCACGAACGCCCATTGTCCCGGCGATGGATTTGAGCTGAGTTACGCATTCGCAGATAACTCCCCATTCCGATAAATTATTTCTCCGCTCCGAGATCCGCTTGGCATGTTTGTCGCTAGCGATCGAGCCGCCAATTTGATTGAGCGTTTGTTGTTTTGCGTTGTTGTTCGCTTTTTTTGGGAGGTGGCTTTCTTTTTTTCTTTTCCTCTCACCGCTTGGCTTGGCCCAGCCCACGTGGTTATTGGGGAACGTCTTTTGGGGGGGGGGGGGGGGGGTGGAGGCTCGCCGCTCGGAGATGCTTCTTTTGCCCGTCAGCACTTCTCTTAATTAAAGGGGGCGGCCTGAGCAATCCGATTTGCTCTCGCACTTTCTCCCGGCCGGAGAGCCACCGCCGCCCAACGTCGGGCAGCCCTGCCAGGATCGTCGTCGTCGTCGGCAGCAGCCATGCTCTAGTCACTGCTGGATGAAGGTCTTCCCATACCTCAGCCGACGTCCCGTCGGGCCCCTTCCCCTCCTTGGACCGTCGCTCTGTCGTCGCCCGACGCGGCAGCAGCGTCGCTCAAAATCTGCTTCGGACACCGAGGCCCCGAACCGTCACAGCCTCGCGTCGGTTCTCCGCCGTCAGCCCCCTCGGTGTGGAACGTGGGAAAGCGCTCTGACTTTCAAGAAGCATCTCAACGCCTCTCTCTCTCTCTCTGTGTTGGGGCAGGCTTTCGAGCACCCCCCGAGTTTGTCCCCGCAAAACAATCTGGCACGTTATAAATGTCATTATTTTCATTATTATTATTATTATTATTGCCACCGGACGTCATCCTGCCCCCCCCCCCCCCCCAAGCCCAGCGCGCCGTCGGAAAACGTCGCGTCACCCTCTCTCGCGGATCGCGTCCGGCAGCCGCCTTGTGCCGTGTCGTGCCGCGTGCAATGCCGAGCGGCGAGACATGTTTTGGTGCCGACGCGCCGGAGACGCAAGAGGACGCATCCCGAGAACCCCGCGCTCGGTTGTCAGATGAAGTTGTCGCGACTCCGATGGCACGCGAACGAAAAGGCCGCGGGGAGATTAACCGCTTTGTAGGAGGCAACACCAAACTTTTTCCTGGGAGGATGGGGGTTTGCGGGGGGGGGGGGGAGGGAGATAGAAACCGCGTGTGTCTTATGCTCTGACTTGATCGCCCCATCTGCAGTGTGCCGTGTGGGCATTAATTCGATTTGTCTGATGGGATGCAGCGGGGGGGGGGGGGGGCGTGGGGGTGTGGTGCGGCGAGGGGGGCGGGGGGGGGGGGCGGGGCGGGGGGGGGGCGGTGTGCACCCTCAGAGGTGTTTAGAGTGAAGTAATTACAGCGCTGGAAGCCGACTCAAAAAAATAATCAGTTGTGACAGAGACGACGTTCGCACGACGTCCCAGGTGCACCGCGCTTGTCTGCGGCTGCGCCAGGGCTTCTGAGTGGTGGAGGGTAAGGGGGGTGGGAAACACGAAATTTTTTTTCCTTAATTAAATGTATTTATTTTATTTTAGTCTTCACGTAGCGCGTTGGCTCGAAAGAGCGTCGACCCAAGTCGCCTTTTTTCATTACCCCCCCCGCCTCCCCCCTTCTTTGGAACGCAACAAAAAAAGAATACTCCAAAAATCAGTCCCGGGGAAAAGATGAAAAAACATTTTTTTGACGAACGCGCCTCAAATTCCGATTCAATTAGCGGTAGGCGGGGGTTTGGCGGCGGCGGTGGCGGTGTGGGAGGGATTAGCGGATGTGAGTGTCGATCGCGAGTTTTGGGGCAGGTTAGAGGATGCGCTCAATGAACCGTTTTCAGCTCTGCCGTCCGCTCAATCGGCCCCATCGATCCGCTTGCTTTCTGTTTAAAACAAAAAAAAGATTTTTTTTTTGCTGGTTTCGCCGTAAATGCACGTGTGATTTCTGTTCCTCCGTATGGATTTCGCTCCGGTGAAAAACCGAGCGGAGACGGAGGTCTTTATTCAAAGCTCAGCGCCGCCGCGCCATTGTCCGCTAATGCAGAGCGATCCGTCGCCAGTCTTTTTTGTTGAGGGCGAGTCGGGCCTGGCGATTTCAGGCGTCTCCTAGGATGACGCTTAACGATGCTGATCTTCGCTGTTTGCGCTGTGCGGCTCTCCCCCGCTTTGTCTGCCGGGTCGTTGCCGCGCTCCGTTTGGCACGATATCCGACGTTTCGCTACACGTGCCGGGAGCTTCTTAAGGAACTTCCTTTCGCAGCGCGTGGAGCGAAACGTCGGACATCGTGGCGAACGGAACGCGTCGGGAGTGCTGTGCAGCAGCAGCAGCAACAGCCGCGACGGTCTCCTCGAGTGGTTTGTAAAGCGACGTTGATAAGATCGGAGAACACCTTGGCGCACGAGCGTTCAAGTTACAGAGCCACGGAATTACAGAGCAATCGGAAAACTGCACGCACTAGCGGCTCGGTTTGTTTAATCTCTGTAAGGAAGTAATGCTTCATTAGCAGGATAATTGGACGACCAAATGAACATTTCCCGAACGGCATTTGTTTCAATCAGCAGAGTTGCTTGCGTATTTAATTTGCACTGTTACAGATAATTCACTGGGAGCTGTGCGTTGTCGTGTGTTTGTGGTTTTACCCCCGGGGTCACAGCTTACATTAGCGGCAAGTGATGTGTTCACTCGTCACGGCCTTCTCCAGTGCGGTGAAGTATGGTCAAACGGCTCCCATAACCAAAGGGCATTAGGAGGCCTTCTGTCATCCGGATGTACATTGACGTAAAGGCTGTAAATGGTTGTCAGATAGTGCATAGAACAAACAAATTAAATACAGAGAATGTCAAATAAATATATTTGCAGATTTATGTATTTTTTTTGGCCCCAGTAATGAAGTCTTCACATGTCTTAAGAGCCGGTGTCCCATGAATTATGAACGATCGAGTCATTGATTTTCCACCGTGCACCAATTAATCTGCGGATACGTATTTACGCATATCTAAAGTAACTTTGTAAAAAAATAAAACAGCACGCTTAATAATAAAACCCGGTAAAAACGCGCGAAACGGATGAAGTTGTAGAGGAAAGGACAATACTTGGACAATGCCCAAAGTTACTCGCTCATCCGGAGCAGTGCTGCTCAAACCTTCTTTGAGCCCGCGGATCGCTCGGCCGTTGCGAACATTAATCTACTCATCAATAACGCTGCCGTAAAGTAAATATTTCATCGGAGGCGCTCCGGGCGATGGCCCTTCTTCACGTCAACGAAGGGCCATCGTCTGAAAGATCTCACATTTTTTTTCGTTTTCTTTTGTGTTGAGCAGTTCGTTGTTAATTGTGCCCGCGCGCCACTGCCAGCAGCAGGAGCAGCGGCGCCAAATAATTATTGTCGTTTCAAATTCAACAAATCTGCGCATTGTTACTTAGTGCGGTGTGCGAACAGCGCACGGCACGCCGGGCAGACGCACGTCACGTGGCACAGATGCCACCGGCCTCAATAGGCGCTCGGCGACTGTGCGATCGCGCACCCCCTTGCGACCTGCGGCGGCTAACCGGGGCGATCGCTGCCGTCTCTGTCTCTCTCTCTCTCCCCGCTTTGGCCGTGCGACCACAGGGACCCCCGTGAACCGCATCCCCATCATGGCTAAGCAGGTGCTGGACCTGCACACGCTCTACAAGCTGGTGACGGAGAAGGGCGGGCTCGTGGAGGTGATCAACAAGAAGATCTGGAGGGAGATCACGAAGGGGCTGAACCTGCCCACGTCCATCACCAGCGCCGCCTTCACCCTGCGCACACAGTGAGTTGTCCCGCTCAGCGTCGGACTAAAAGTTAGATTTTTGTTTTTGTTTACACACACACCAGGTAAGGCCCCACTGAGCTGTCTTCGTGGCTCAGTTTCAGACGCGACCCGGCCATCGCAAATGATAGCTCGCCGAAGTGGCTTATGGTCGCGTGGAAAATTGATAGCAGCAGCCGAATACTCTGAATCGCGTGACCGTTGACTCTAAATGTGGAGGGGGAAATACCGGAGGACCCGCAGAAAAATCTACGTGACCACGGGGAGACTCCAACTATACAGGCGTCGGGGTCGGGATCGAACCCACAACCTCCTGCATATACCAGGCGAGGCAGATAACATCTCGCCACCATTATCTTAGAATTGTCAAGGACTTGGGTTTACCAGACTGACAATTTTGTCACCTGTGTTCAATCCACCCCACTGCAGCCCACAACAATAACAAAGATTCTCCCCTATAGCCTTAACAGACTGTTGGGGCAAGTGCTGTTAGCGAGTAGTGCCTATGAAGGCCGGCACGGCACACAAGGGGGTGGGTGGCCAGCACCACGCCCGACCGCCTTTGTCTCCCTAAATGAGTACACCACACCAGGTACTCATTTGAGGCAGAGCCGACCGAGGGGAGGCTCAGGACAGTTTCAGATAATCATCGCTGGTTTTGGCCATGAGCAGTAATTATCGAACTCGGGTCGCCAGGTTCGCAGTGCAGAGCGCTAACGGCCACCCCGCTGCTCCCGATAGTTCACAACCAGCACGCTCGCTCACCCACTCACTGACCCAGCCACCCATTTGCCCGGTTAGATTCGCTCACTCGCCACACTGCAGGTCACAAAATGCATCCTTCCGATTCCTTCCCTCGCACCGCTCCCCTTTGGAATTCGCTCCTCCAACCATCGTCTCTTTTCTGCCCCAGGCTCTATTTTTTCCTACGCATATACATAAAATGTTTTATTCCACATTCTCCCTCGCGTACATTGCAGCATACTTCATACATTGCAACATCCTGACGGCCTGCCTGGTGTTGCCGTGGGCTTCGACGGTAACAGGTAAACCGGACTCATCAAAGAAGGCGGGGTGGGTGAAGGGAGGGATTTTCCTTGGGCAAAAGAGGGGGGGGGGTGGATGCTGTTGGCCAGGTCATTGCCATTCTGGCGATCAGTTATTTAAGACTGGTCTAAGGTTTAGCAATGGACCCCATGCACGTGCTGTAATTCTTCTTCCTCGTCCGTGAGCTTACCAGCTTACAGCTCAGATGCTGCTAGTGCTCAGATTGGGCCTGAATTAATTCAGCCACTGAGTATGGGACGGGGACGGGGGGGGGGGCAGGGGCGGTTCGTGATTCTTCCACGTGCTCAATCCGGCTTTCCTGGCCCGTTACACTGAAAGTGCTTAACAAAGCGTTCTGTTCTCGAATCGGCCCTGCTTCTTTTGGGCCTCACAGGGTCGTTTCCACACTTATTTTTTTACAGATGTATTGTGAACGTTATCGAAAACCCCCTATTATATGTTCGTAGAACTCGGCGATAGTCGGACATGACCAGAAAGCACGTTCGGAATCGTTGTGTTACCCCCGCTAAGCTCTTAAAATAATAACTGGCTCGCCGAATCCAAGAAATGCATTGCTCTGAAACGGGTGCTGTTTATTTCTGGCGACTGTGTTAAATGGAAAAGTGCGGGTGGTGTTGTTAATCATCCTTTAAAAATTACCGAGCAGCTGAATTTTTCAACGGTCAATTCTGAATTTACGAACATGTGCCCATCACTATGCTACTCGGCCACTGTAAAGCAAAAAAACGGTGGACTCTCCTTCCACTCGAATTTATTTAAATGTATTTGTTTTGGCCGAGCCCCAAAAAAAAAACCGAACGCGATGCGCATTTAGCGCTTCGTCCATTGCAACGGGAAATAAAAATTGTTCCAGGCAGCAGCAGCAGCAGCCGCGGAGAGACGCTGCTCAGACAAGGCCAGGCCAAGTTTTGGGAGCGATCAGCAGCAGGCCTCTTGGGGTAGTTCTGCGTGCAACGCGACGCTTAATAATACTTTCAGAACCTCCATCGTTATTCCTTGAACGTCTCGTCGACTGGCGGTGATGATCTCTGTCCTCCTGTAGCGAGGAAGTGTCTCTTTATCCGAGTGTGTATATTTTTTTAAAATCAGATATTGCTCGGGAACGTGGGAAGCAACAGTCGAGCAACAGAATGCCGTCTTCAACTCGCCATCGATCGTCGATCAATTCCAATTGATCCCCAATCGATCCCAAACGGCTCTAATCAAGAGTATTAACATTCGCCATCGATTCCCGGCCGATTCTTAATCGACAGAGCGGCAATTGACCGCTCGCGTGCCCTCGAAGAAACGAGGCAGAGGAGAGGAAGGGGAATAAAAAGATGTGATTCATCGCGATCAATTCGGGGTCAACGTGAATCACTGCTGGATCCATGAGAAGATTTTCAGGGGCAGCGGGACAAGAGTTTGGGCCCTGGGGTCACGTACGTATGTTGCATGTATGTCGTACGTTGAGCTTCTTTCACGCCGTACGTAGCCAACCGTCCCAATCGGAGGTGCTGGACACGCAATGCAAAGTCCTCTATCCGCGCAGGTGCCCCGTGCCGGTTGGGCGTTCGACGCCGCGAGAATTATCGTGAGCCCGAGAACCGATGTGAATCAATGAATTGACGAGAGCGGGTAACAGTTCATTGTAATTGCTGTACGCACACTCTCCTGCTGCATTCCCCAAAATTATGAGACTTGCTTTTCAGCTGCTATATTTGTATATCTTTATAGATACCAGGCACACCGTTGTTGTTTTTTTTTGGGTGGGGGGGGGGGGGCAGGGGAACCTTGCTGGTCCCTGAGAAGTGCGGTGATTGTTTGTCAACAGATATACAATAATTATTCATTTGTTATTTATCAGTAGAAATGAGCAGCAGGAAGTTGCATAACAGCTCACTTCTCTTTTTTCATTTCTCACTGCAGTCGTCGATGTAACACTGCCGATGACATGATATCATGATGCCGCGATAACAGCACGCACCTTCCGATGAGCACGGTTGGCTACGTACGGTGTGAAATAAGTTCAAAGTACGTACAAGAGACAAACATCTCCCGTATAGCCTTTAACAGACTGTCGGGACAAAAGTGCTTTTCAAGGCCAGCACGGGTGGGTGGTCGGCACCACGCCCAACCGCCTTTGTCTCCCTAATGACGATGTTTACACACCGCACCAGGTACTCAGTTGAGGCTGAGTCGACCTAGGGGAGGCCCAGGATCCGGTTCAGATATTAGCCACTGGTGTTGGCCGTGAGCGGGAATCGAACTCGGGTCACGGGGTTCGTAGCGCAGCGTAGCGCTAACCGCTACGCTACCTGCTCCCCGACGTACATATAAAGACACACACACGCACACACAGATGCACGTCATCGTTTTTTTCCCCCACTCCAAACGCTCATTTTGGGTTTCTTCGCGCCTTCTCGCCCGACGAAGGGCACCGATGCGAGGGGGGCAAGGGGGGGCACGGGGGCCCATTCGACGCTCGCGCCCACAATTCCCCAAAAATCGCAGCTTTTATTTTAAATAAGTACAAATAAGACACCGCAAGCCACCTGCGTTCGGCTCTGGATCTGCCCTGACCTCCTCTCCCCCCCCCCACCACCACCACCACCCCCCTCCCACCACCACCACCACCCCCCCCCCCCCCAACTTTTATCTGTGCTTGCTCTAGCAGAAACTCTCGCCGCATATCTGCAATGCCTTCATTGTGATTGCGCTGTTCATTCCAACTTGCTTCCAGGACTCGCTCGACAAATGTTTGCCGAATGTTTGCGCGGTTTTTTTTTATTTTCCGCCACCGCAGCGCCGTTCACCCGAACTGACCGCGCGTGCGTGCCTCGATCCAAACTCGACTACCGGCGCCGCCGAGGCATTTGACCCGCGGTCGCCGTGCGTTTCGCTTTGGGCTCCTGGCGGAAGTTGGCCCCCCCCCCCGCCCCCCGCCCCCGCCCGTGCCGACTCCAACCGGCCAGCACCTGGGCCCCCCCTCCGACCCCGTGGCGGGCCCCCCCCCCCCCCACCCCCTCCACCGCCCAACCCCCCCCCCCCCCCACTCCGCCGCTCGCTCGTTGATCTCGAGTGAGCTACGCCCGCGCCCCTACTCGAGATTCGTCATCGCGATTTGAATGGGAACGTTTTGTTTATTTATACCGACAACTTGCTCGTCGCTACCGGCTTCTCTCTCTTTCGCGGCTTTGTCTTTTCGCCCAGATATACTCTTTGCTATTAAAAAAAATAATAATCTAGGTCAGGCCCACTGAGCTGCATAGGCCCAACAAGAAGTGAGTGGCTTATCATTATCGTGTGGAAATTCATAGTCGCAGTCAAAATGCTCTTAAACGTGTGATGCCGATTCGAAATGCGTAGGGAAAAACCGGAGGACCCGGAGAAAAATCCACACGACCACAGGGAGAGAGAGAGCGAGAGAGAGAGACACACGCAAACTCCAAATATACAGCAGGCGTCAGGGTCAGGATCGAACCCACCACCTCCTGCATACCAGGCGAGGGAGATAACATTTCCTAGCCACCGCGGGGACCCTATATATTTTGATTGTGCCATTGGTGTCGTGGCCATGAACATTTTTTCAGGCTCACGTGTGACAGAGAGCAGCCCTCTGGAAGATCTTCTTGTTCCCTCGGCGTTCCTCCCATATTATTTGCTCGTTTCCAGATCTCGAACTTAACGTTACCCCAAAATTCATGATCGACCCACCGTGTTCACATCTATCTCTATCTTGAATCTCTTGTCGTTTTTTTTTTGTGTGCGTGTGTTCAAATTCCTAAACGCGCTGCCGTGTTCCGGCACCCGACGACACGACGGACCTTTATATCTGCGTTTCTTGTATTTTATGTCTCTCTTCATCTTTTCTGAGTAACCCAAGATGCATGTTTGCGTTCTTGCGTGCGTGCACGTGCTTCTCTTGTGCGCGTCGATATTCTCGTACCATC